TTTTTCCCTTTGTGTGTGTGAGATTATATATATACACACACTCATACATATACACACACACTCCCCGCCCTGCTTCCTGGGACTCAGCTTGGCTTTCACTAATCACAGTGACATTTCTAACATTGTAACTGATCAAGAATGTTCTTAGTATAAACAGGACTTTTTAAAAAATATTTTTTGGAGAAAATTCTCATTTTCTGATTTCCGTACTGTCTTACTTATCTATTCTTGGCTTATTTTTTGACTCCTATAGAATCACAAAAGTGCTTTTGTATGATCAAATATGAGAACTGAAATAGGAAAACAAGGGTTCTAAATTAGGGTTATACTGCTACTCAGGAAGGCGTTACTTGATGTCAAACCTCCCAACAATTCTTACTGAAGCTTTAAGACATTTATGAATTCTCAAAAAGTATGAAAATAATGAATACTTCATATGGATAAAGCCAAAATAAAGGTGCCAGACTAATGATCTTTATGCAGCTTGACTAACTAATAAAAGGTAATCTAAGTAGCAAGTTACTGTTAAGGGCAACTTGCCTGTTCAACAGGAGAACATCTAAGAGGATAAGCTAAGCAAACATTTAACTCAGGTTTAATGACACTGAATGAAAATTTTGCAGAGTTGTCAGTTAAACTTCTTGGTAAAAATATTAAAATCAAGTTTGAAATAGGAAGACTACAACATATTCTAGCTGTATCCAAGTCGTTTGCTTCTTGAATTTCATAAAAATCACCGCCCTTGGCAAATTCATGTAGGTCTCTAAACAGATCCATCAAGTTCCTTGAGTAACAAACGGTCTCTAATTCCTGGTCTGCAATCCATCTAAACACTTCAGATCCATCACTGGCATGCTTAGCGCTCACTCTTTCCTTGAACACTGAGATCCTCTGCCAGTCATTCCTGCTGAAGGACAAGTCAGCTTTTATTTCCCTAGACATGCCTTAAGTCTTTCATGACTCTGTCAGGAGGCCTGTCCTCCTAAAATCCATTAGAGAATACACAAGTGAACACTAGGCAGTGGTGAGTTGTGGAGAAGCTAGCCTGGAAACTGGTCTACATCTTTAGAAGGCTGAGAATCCCTGTGCTGGAAGGCAGAGATGCCTCTATCAAGTGCCTTCCAAAACACTCAGTCATTCCTACTAGAATCCCTCCTAGACTGTCTTCTAGGAAGAGAAATATATTAATAGGTTATAAACACGGATTTCCCTTAGAATAATAGTTTTTCCAAGAAACTTGTTAGAAGATAACTATTAAGAAAAAGAAAGGGAATCTAATATTTCTTTGAAAATGTGCCAAAAAACCAGTACTGAGGAGGCTGAGGTACCCTTTTTCAAACTGTAAAAGTCAAAATCTACATTTCTAAAACAAAGAATATCCTGATATTAAATTGAAACTAAGATGGCAGCACCCTTTGTTACTTTGATATTTCGTGTCCTTACTCTTACTTAGGAAAAAAAAAGGGTCTAACACTAGCCTTGAATCCTGCTTATCTCCTTATTGTTTAGTGCAGTAACTGTCAGACTCTACTTAAATAAATATAGCAGCTACAATATTGTAAGTGTATGGTCCTCCATGCCAGTAACCTGATACTGTAATATAATACATGTATCAGCACTTTACGTAGACACTTCAGCCATCAAGAATATACATTAAACTCCCAACTCTTCTTCATATGAAAATCAATTATCTAGTTGCCAGACTGATATTTTACAGTCAGTCTTGTAAGATACATCATAGAAAAAAGATTAAAATTTAGCATTCATGATATAGTTAGTGAGCAAGGGCAGGAGCAGAAGGGTCACTGTGAATTTCATGTTTAACTTAAAAAAAAAACTTTTTTAAAATAAAAAAGATTAGAAATTCTGCACCAGAAGTGCAACAATAAATAGGACAAAAATCAAGAAGCATTTGTCACTTAGCCTTTTACCTTAAAATTCTAAGCACAAGTTTTCTTGTAATTAAGAACCAATGGTAATTAATATACCAATTTGTTAGCAAAATAGAAATATAGTATACATATTCTTTCAAGTTAATCAACTTTAAACTAGCAATGCTGAATAGTGTAAGAGCACTCTAAAAAAGAAATCACTCAAAAGGTAAAACTTCATAATTTAGAAAAAGTATTTTTCCTCTTAAAAAAGTCCTTCCAAATATATTTAAATTAAGGGCTCCACTCTAGCATATACGACTGACTGAAAATTAGGTGAGAGAGTACATAGAGAAAGGGTATCTACAGTCATTCCCTAAAGTTTCCCATATGAATCTGTGCAGCTCCCATGATAAAGGAAGATGTTTACTCACACTAATCAAGCACATACCAATTAAATTTTTATCATCTTGGGTATACTGTTTTCTTCTCTTGCCCATGATCCTGACTATATTCAGTAAAATTTCAGTGTAAAAAAATCCACCTTTATAGGAAATTTTTCTGGAGGAGATGGGAGAAGGCTGGGAGAAAAAATGTATATACTATACAAATATTACCCTTTGTAAAGTTCTTTGCAACAGTGTTGTAAATTGCATTTCAGACACTTCAAAATAATAAACATACAAAATACAGTACTTTCTTAGTTTTCTGGCAGAGGGACAAAAGATTACATGCCTGTCGGAGGACATGGGCTCAGATTTTAGGCTCAAAATACAGTGAATTGGCAATAATAGTGGATTACAGGTAAGAGAGAAACTAAAGATCTAAATCCATTAGGTTTCACGTGCAGATGGAATTCTGAAAGGCTAACAACAATGCCCACTGGAAACAATCTGTAGTATCTATACTCTGAACCAGTGCAAGAAAAAAAAAAATCAAAATGCAATTTTCATGAGTTACAAAGTGCAAAGCTCCCCTGAATCCAATGTTACTGATAAACTCGGTTTTGATAGCTTTATAGTACTTTTTAATACCTTAAAGTGTAATCAATAAAACAAAAGTTTTGTAAAACAATTTCTCACATTTCAGTGATTTAACTGATTTAAAATGATCAAAGTCCTAACTTCCTTTGTTACTATCACCTTAATTTTAAAAGGAAAGTTACACTGGTGATACATTAGCAAAAGTTTTAAAATATCATCTTGCATTTTCCTGATTCTTTTTAGTAAATGAAAATGGGCAACTAGCCAATATGATTCTTCAATAAACACAATCTATTTGCAAATAATTTAAATATGTTAACCTATTCACGATTATTTCTTATATAAAAGTTCAACTTTATTTCTAATATTCAAGTTGGACTCATTTAGGCAATTTCACTTCATTTTCATTATGATTTTTTTTTTCTTTTGAGACAGAGTTTTGCTTTTGTTGCCCAGGCTGGAGGGCAATGGTGCAATCTTGGCTCACTGCAACTTCCGCCTCCTGGGTTCAAGCAATCCTGCCTCAGCCTCCCAAGTAGCTGGGATTACAGACGTCCACCACCATGCCCAGCTAATTTTTGTATTTTTAGTAGAGACGGGGTTTCACTATGTTGGCCAGGCTGGTCTCGAACTCCTG